AGAATGGGTTCATCCTTTTTATCATATCTAATATGTTTAAAATCTAAAGTAAACGATATCTTAGGTATTTAATACTTATATCATTGTTCAAATATTCAACTATTTTTCAAAGTGCTAATTGGAGGTCTTTGATAGCAAATTGCTTAATTAAAAATACATATCTTTTCAAACTTGCTTTCACTGGGCAAGATGACAAGTATCATTTTTAACCATCAGCCTTCCTTTACTAAAACGATAAATCCAATCATTAATTGAATTTATAGGAACTCATTTATCTCAATAAACTGTGTACAAATTATTATTTGATACTGTAGAGGGATTTCTAAGATATTACAATAAATTGAACAGTCGTTTGTTGAACGAGTTCGATGAGACAACCATTTTTCGTCACAAGTGACCTAAATAGTGACGTCATTTTCACATTGTGACGTCACAAACAAGGAGCGAAACTTTATTCAGCATATGCTATTTATAGACCTTGTGTATGGCTATGTGTGTACCGAATTTCATTCTAATCTGAATTGTGGTTTTGTAGATATAGAGGTAGTTTGCGAACTTTTTGATCACCCCTCGTATATACTGGCGGGATTCATAAGTCAACTCTAATTAATTATATCTTTATGCTATCACATATTTCAGATCAAAACCTATAATTATCTATCAAAAATCCGATTTTGGTGTTTGTTTTCTTAATATCTAAATCATATTATAATTTATGCATTAAAAATTTATTAAAAATCAATTCCAATACATAAAATGAATAAGTGATATTAATCAGAAAACACCCTATTTACTAGGAATAAACGAAGTTTGACAAACTTGTAGTGTTGTGCGTGATGTTTTGGGTAAATACACATGGCGCTGAAGGAGTTGCCTATCCCGTTAGCTCCTGGTTTTTTGGTAATAGTGGTTTTGGCATTATTAATATTAGTCATATCATAATTTTAGGGGGTGGGTGGGCACGCCCTTCCTTAAATCCGCCAGTGGTTTTTAGCTAAGTGTTTTTAATTTCTTTGCAAGGACAATAGAAAAAAAATGAGGGTTTTTTTCTGTGTTCAGGCGCTCTTTAAAAGAACTTTTCAACTGTGAAAAAAATTAAATGCCTCCGAATTTATTATGATAATCGTATACTGTATTTAAGAAATAAAGTCCGCGTTTTCGTGAATGTTGCAGGATAACCTCGTTGTATTATAAATAGCTTTTTTAAATTACAGATTTGTTTGTAATATGTATTGATTAGTTTTTCGTATACAATAACAAAATAATATTCCTGTTCTACTGCTCTCAGCCAGGTTTTAGCCTCGTTTTTGAAGGGGGGGGGCAGCCAGAGAAAATTTTTTTTACTTACCTGAAACAGTTGATAAGCAAAAAAAAAAAAAAAAAAAGGAAACAAGAAAAGTTGCTAAAGTCGATAATCCTATTTCTTAGGGGGGGGGAGGGGATGGGGCGGGGGTGGGGCGGGGGTGGGGCGGTTTGGGGGGTTAGAGGCCAACGTTTTCCAATGCCAACTTCTTATTGCCGATGTTTTACACTACGTTTTCCTTAGATAACATAAAGTTGGGGGGGGGGGCGCTTGCTGCATCGATGTGGTGTAAACAAGTATTTCATGATACAGCCAAACATGCATTTGAATTGTCCAGGTTTGATACGTGTTTCTGATCTGATAATTTTTTGATGAAGTTCGTGATTAATTGGAGAATAATGTCCGCAGCAGCTTTTCTTTGATCTTTGCAATAATCAGGGTAGAATTTGCATTACTTATTGAACGACCCTCGTATATGAAAGGGTTTCTTCCTATTTACTATTGATTGTTCCTATCATTATATATGAAAGAGTACTATAGGATGTTTTTAAGACATGATGGGGTTTCCTTTTATGCGTAGCACAAATCAACGTTATTTAAACCGAAGCGATGACGACTTATCTTGTTTATCCAAGTTAAAAGATTACCTTGTAAAATTCCTCTTCTTCGATTGTTCAGGTAAGTAGATAAAAAACTTTTAAAATGATTTGTACTTGATTTTTAGCTCTACTGGTCAGAGACCAGAAGAGCTTATGCGATAGTAATGCGTCCGTCGTCCGTCCGTCTGTCTGTCTGTCTGTAAACAATTTTTCAAAATGCTACTCCTCCTACAGTTTTGGTCTGATTTCAATATAACTTGGCACACAAGTAGACTACACTAAGATACATAATTCTGTGTATCGGTTTTTGATTTCGATGAACGGTGTTGCCGTGGTTACTAAAAATAGAAATTTCTGTGAAATTCTTTCAAAATGCTACTCCTCCTACAGTTTTAGTCTGATTTCAATATAATATGGCATACAAGTAGACTACACTAAGATACATAATTCTGTATATTGGTTTTTGATTTCGATGAACGGTGTTGCCGTGGTTACTAAAAATAGAAATTTCTGTGAAATTCTTTCAAAATGCTACTCCTCCTACAGTTTTAGTCTGATTTCAATATAACTTGGCACACAAGTAGACAACCCTAAGATACACAATTCTGTGTATCGGTTTTTGATTTCAATGAATGGTGTTGCCGTGGTTACTAAAAATAGAAATTTCTGTGAAATTCTTTCAAAATGCTACTCCTCCTACAGTTTTAGTCTGATTTCAATATAACTTGGCACACAAGTAGACTACACTAAGATACACAATTCTGTGTATCGGTTTTTGATTTCGGTGAACGGTGTTGCCGTGGTTACTAAAAATAGAAATTTCTGTGAAATTCTTTCGAAATGCTACTCCTTCTACAGTTTTAGTCTGATTTCAATATAACTTGGCACACAAGTAGACAACCCTAAGATACACAATTCTGTGTATCGGTTTTTGATTTCAATGAACGGTGTTGCCGTGGTTACTAAAAATAGAAATTTCTGTGAAATTCTTTCGAAATGCTACTCCTTCTACAGTTTTAGTCTGATTTCAATATAACTTGGCACACAAGTAGACTACAATAAGATACATAATTCTGTGTATCAGTTTTTGATTTCGATGAACGGTGTTGCCGTGGTTACTAAAAATAGAAATTTCTGTGAAATTCTTTCAAAATGCTACTCCTTCTACAGTTTTAGTCTGATTTCAATATAACTTGGCACACAAGTAGACTACACTAAGATACATAATTCTGTATATCGGTTTTTGATTTCGATGAACGGTGTTGCCGTGGTTACTAAAAATAGAAATTTCTGTGAAATTCTTTCAAAATGCTACTCCTCCTACAGTTTTAGTCTGATTTCAATATAACTTGGCACACAAGTAGACTACACTAAGATACACAATTCTGTGTATCGGTTTTTGATTTCGGTGAACGGTGTTGCCGTGGTTACTAAAAATAGAAATTTCTGTGAAATTCTTTCGAAATGCTACTCCTTCTACAGTTTTAGTCTGATTTCAATATAACTTGGCACACAAGTAGACAACCCTAAGATACACAATTCTGTGTATCGGTTTTTGATTTCAATGAACGGTGTTGCCGTGGTTACTAAAAATAGAAATTTCTGTGAAATTCTTTCAAAATGCTACTCCTTCTACAGTTTTAGTCTGATTTCAATATAACTTGGCACACAAGTAGACTACAATAAGATACATAATTCTGTGTATCAGTTTTTGATTTCGATGAACGGTGTTGCCGTGGTTACTAAAAATAGAAATTTCTGTGAAATTCTTTCAAAATGCTACTCCTTCTACAGTTTTAGTCTGATTTCAATATAACTTGGCACACAAGTAGACTACACTAAGATACATAATTCTGTATATCGGTTTTTGATTTCGATGAACGGTGTTGCCGTGGTTACTAAAAATAGAAATTTCTGTGAAATTCTTTCAAAATGCTACTCCTCCTACAGTTTTAGTCTGATTTCAATATAACTTGGCACACAAGTAGACTACACTAAGATACACAATTCTGTGTATCGGTTTTTGATTTCAATGAACGGTGTTGCCGTGGTTACTAAAAATAGAAATTTCTGTGAAATTCTTTCAAAATGCTACTCCTTCTACAGTTTTAGTCTGATTTCAATATAACTTGGCACACAAGTAGACTACACTAAGATACATAATTCTGTATATCGGTTTTTGATTTCGATGAACGGTGTTGCCGTGGTTACTAAAAATAGAAATTTCTGTGAAATTCTTTCAAAATGCTACTCCTTCTACAGTTTTAGTCTGATTTCAATATAACTTGGCACACAAGTAGACAACCCTAAGATACATAATTCTGTGTATCGGTTTTTGATTTCAATGAACGGTGTTGTCGTGGTTACTAAAAATAGAAATTTCTGTGAAATTCTTTCAAAATGCTACTCCAAATACAATTTTAGTCTGATTACAATATAAATGTGGCATGCAAGTAGACTGCACTAAGAACATAAAGAGACTTAATCAAGGATCATTATTCTATTTATTGCTGTTGAAAAGTTTCAATTTCCAACTGCTTAAGTACTTTTCTCTTCCTTTGCTATAAGTACAAACCAGTAGAGCTTCAGTCTCGACAGAGACTTCTGGTTGTTATTATGGACAAATTTCATGGATATATTTAAGACCAATATTTGATCAAACGTATAATTACCATATCGTTATACCTGTAATTTCCGTATCGTTTAATAAGCACCTGAAATGTAATAAACAAGAATTTGTTGCACAAGTATCTATGTTGCTTCCGTTTAAGATTTGGGATATAATTTAAAGAGGTGGTTGACAGTCCCAAAAACACAATATATAATGACCTGTGAATGTTCATGGTGCAGATAGGTATTTCCTGTCATCAGACAGAAGATGCTTATGTTGCTATAACTAACTGATCATCCTTTCCCTTTTTGTACAATGTTTTGAAATGAAGCCACTGTAACACAAACAGCAGATAGAGAAAAGAAATAGGATTGCATGTTTTATTATAAGTTCACAGTTTGACTTTACTTCAAATTCTTCTTTGTTTAAATGTATTTATATCTAGGATTCAAGCACACCAAACATTGCATATTTATTTAGCATTATCTTATTTTTTTTATTCTACTGAAAGTTTGCCATTGCTAATTCAGCATTGTAACCTTTAAGGGTGAGATGCCACCTATAACAATCATGAGTCGTGGATCCAGGTATGGACTTATGTCACTGACCGAAAATCGATGTGGTGAGTTACACATGTTTAACAGGACATTGTATCGTGTGCATCTAGGATATATTTAATGACAAAATATTTTAGAGATCCCCTTTGAGGTATTATCTTTATTTCCCATTCATATTTTAAATGGGTCTTGTTTAAAAGTCCCAATTAAGGAAGTAATTGGAATTTTCTGTACTATGCTGTTACTATGCTGTTATTTCTTTTGTATCCCATGTTAACTTGTTTATTCCATGGACATCACTCATTGGATATTTTTGTATATGATATTGAAGTAATTTTTACACCTCCAACAATGTAAAAAAATACTACATTATAATTACCACCAGGTGACATAAATGGTGTATATAAGAATTTATTTTCTTTACATCAATCTAAATAAACATCCATCGACCTTAAGGTCAAGATCTAGTAAATGAAAGATGCCTGCAGATTTATCAAATTTGAGAAATAAATTCCTTTAATGATGCTTTGCAACTTTAGCTTGATCAAATAAGGTGTTTCGGAGCATAATTTGTAGGAAAACAAGTTGAAAAACCATAGTTTAAACTGTCATTTTCAATGAAAAATTAAGAATACCAAATATGAATATGGGAGTTTTTTTTTCATTTTCATATTGCCTACAGTCTTTCAGAAAACGGTAATTTGTTTGTTCACATCTTCGCTACCAAGGGTTTCCGATCCGATACCTACTGTACAAGAGTAGATTAGGTATCGGATTGGAAACCCTTGGCTAGCGAAGATGGTTTGTTCATGGCCTCTTCTTTAAGATAATACACTTGTAGCAAATTTTATTTAGGATCGGGATAACTTTTCATATGATTTAAAATTGAATGCCATGGCAAGCCCAAAATAACTTTAGTATCCTTACAATTTAATAAGACGTGAAATTTAATAACATTAGGGTTAACATAAAAAATATTTGGAACAATTTTTTTCGTTCACTCTTGAAAAAAGAACATTCTTAAAGGTAGTGGAATTTATCTCCTAAATTGTTAGAGGAACAAAGATCACAAATACACTCATCTCTATCAACTCCCCAAAATCGACCTTTTTCAATAGGAAATCTGTGATTCATAGATCTAAATTTACATGAAGCTTTTCTCAAATCCCTTCTTAGATATATCAAATAATTTTCAAAATAATTTTCTAATTTAAATTTCCTATAATTAAGGGTTTTTGGCATCTCAAAAATACAGGCATACCAATTCTGCTTAAATTGATCAATTAATCTAGCTTTTAAAAATTTTGACACCAATATTTTCGTTGGAGAAAACTGTTGCGACCATAACTCAGCCATTCCACAATCATTTAGTGTTTTTTCAACATAATTAATCCACTTAGCCTGCATTAAGTCATGTTCTCTAAGTTTTAATAACAATTTATATAAAAGAAAAGATATTTTGTCTTGTTTGCCACAAACAAGTCTATACCAAAATCCAATAACTCTGGACTTAATAAATATTTCTACTGGGTATCTGCCTAGTTCACCATAAAAAACCTGATTAGGGGTAGATTTTTTCAGATTTAGAATTATTTTGTAAATTGTACATATAAATTTTCTATGACATTGTTATTATCAAATCCCCTTACTTCACACCCATAAAGTAATATGGGTGTTACCATACTGTCAAAAAGTTTCAGCTGAATATCTAAAGGTAAATCCAAATATCTTACTTTTTTGAGTAAACTGAACATAGCATTCCTACCTTGCTCAAGTAGCTTAGTTTTATTACTAACAAAAGATCCATTACTTGAAAAAGTTACACCTAAGTAAACAAATTCATCAACAACTGATAAGGTTTGGTTGTCATATGTAAAGACTATTGTTGTATTGTCAGTTTTAGGTTTATTTAAAGTAACAATCTTTGTTTTAGATGTACGGGAAAAAGAAAGTTGAAATTGATTATGACGTCATAATTTTTTTAAGCTTTCATTTTCCCTGATAATGCTCCCCTTTCAAAATCGATCTTATAAAAGGACCTGGCATTATTCTTTTTTCTTTTATAGCAAATAAAATAGATCTAAAAAAAATCCAAATTAATACGACTATTTATTTAATCGTGTTTCTCTCATTGCCTCTGGTAAGGACCCCAGTAAATGTAAACAAGTAAATGACATGAACTGCTCAATGAGTTTGTATCATTCAATATTATTGATTGATTGTATATGTTGTTTAACGTCACTCTCGAGAATTTTTCACTCATATGGAGAAGCCACCACTTGTCGATGGAGAGCTACAAATTTTGTCCTATACTCGGCACTTAGGGTCATTGAGCAGTGAGGGATCTTTTTCATGCCAACACCTACTGTGACACAGGACCTCGGTTTATACGCATTCAATTATTGCATCATATAATAAAACATATGTTGCTGTTTTTAATCAATACGATGGTTTATTTTGTACTTGGACAATATGCACTTCGCCATTTGGGTTCTGTGTATATTGTACTCCTCAGGTGGCTAATTCATAGTATTTTTGACGTCAAAAACAGGAATACATGTAATTATATGATGTCCCATATTTGTGGCGGCACATTTGGTTTTGCATGAGAGTTTTTAAGCCAAATAAAATTGATTCCTACATTAAACATTGTAAAATATTGATAGTGATGTAAAAACATGGATTAGAAGGAACCCTTGATGATTGTATACGCTGTAGTTGCAAATGATTTTTATCAGAAACGTTATGATTTTTTAATCCTTGGTCGAGTCTTAAACAAAAATCATATCCAACCACAATATCATGCAATATCCTATCATTTTTTTTAATTTATTTGTTTTTTTCCTAATTGAAAAAATCAATTTTTTACAGTCCCGTTAAAGAAAATCAACATCCAGGTGGCGATCCATGGATTTATCGCCAACGTGACCTCTGACCTTCAGTATGTTAACGACTCGGACGAGAACATGGAGACAGAGTTTGTCTTCCCACTCGACTCTGACGCAGCTGTTTATAAGTTTGAAGCTGAGTTAGACGGTAGAACCATTGTAGCAGAGGTTCAAGAGAAATCACAGGTTAACATACATATTTGTGTTCAAAATTCATATAATATACATTTATTGCACATACTATTATGGGAAATATGAAGATCTATTCAGCCAAGATAAATCATATTCCCCCGCGAGGGATTCACATTTTCCTAAACATTCATATTTGGTTTCTCTAGAAGAAAACAGATAAAGCGTTGTATAGAATGAATATTATGAGGTGTAATAAAATTAATTTATTTCATATCGTTTAAAAAATATAATTTGTTTTTGTCAAAGGCAAAAGAGACATACCAAGATGCCGTTTCTTCTGGTCACACGGCTATGTACATGGGAGAAGATGACAACGCTGGAGATATATTTCGTCTCAAACTCGGAAATCTCCCGGCCAAGAAAGCAGCAAAATTCACATTTGCTTACGTAGTGGAGCTGGATTTGTCATCTGATAAAGCGGGGACATTTATGTTGCCAACAGTTCTAAATCCAAGATACGTTCCAGACTGTTGTAAGTCTGAAAGAATATTTTTCTCTCTAAGTTACATCTATGTATCTAACTTACAGGGTAAGGCAAATTGATTTGAAAATTATAAAAGGGAAAGGAGAAAAGTGAAAATAACAAACAGTGATGGATGTATATTAAGCTACCACATTCAAATAAACTGCTGTACATCCATTAAGCTTAAGTAGAGTTTTATGACTATAACATTACTCCTTATTTCTGGGTTTTCTCGAAAACTGATTTTCTCAAGGACAGATGATACAAGCAAATTTATTTTGAAAAAATTGAAAATAACAATTTCAGTCATGTTTTGATAGGTAAAATGAATGGATTTCACCGCGTAATTTTTATTTTTTTATTCAAAGTTTGACAAAAATGGGACTTGAAGTAAAAAATATTTGTATAGATTAATAAGTATGGTGTCAGAGATGCAGAACTATGAACATCATAGAAAGTTTAAAATACCTTTATATTCTACAAATCTATTTTTTTGCATCATTTTTAGTGACATAAGGCCATAAAATATATACCAATCCAGGAATGCAGTTTTTTGTCTGTATCATCTGTCCTTAAAAGAATTCGATAGAATAAATAGCACCATGCTAAAATATTTAGCACTTTTAATTTATAAATAAAAACTCAATGTAAAATTAAGATACCACTCCACAAATTGTAATGATACATACCTCTTTGAAAACTCTTCCCTTTAAAGCATCAAAAGACGAATCTAACTCTGAGGAGACTGACACAACAATAATAACATGTAAAACAACCGAAAGCGATTTTGGAATGATATATTGCTCAGACTTTACAATGAATTTGGAAGCTGAAGTTGATGGAGGTAGAAACCTTATGGTTTCCGAAAACAAGATGGAGTTTGATGTGGTGGCAGATGCAATCGATAACAAGGTATAGACTCACTATAACAATTTCTTTCCACTCTTTTTTTTTTTTTACAAAAGGCCTATGCATACTATAGGTTCTTTTTTATATTTATTTAATAATTTTGTTATGCCATTGAAATTCATTGTAAATGGTAAATTTATATTTTTCTGTGACAATTGAAATTGTCTTATACAAAAATTGACTTTTTTAATCTCCTTTTCGTTTTGTTTTCTCTGATTCAAAATTAATGTTTCCCTAAAGTATATGATCATTAAAAAATAGCATTGAAGAGATTATTATTATTAAAAGTTTTTATGATTTAAATCATTTGTGCACTCTAATTAACGAAGCTGGGAGCAGCTTATTATAAACCTTGGCGTCGTTGTCGGTGTCCCAGTTTAAAGTTCTTTGGTGCAGATTTCCATATCAATCAGAGGTTCATGGAAGATGCTCATAGTATGTTATTTGTACCTGTACCAGTTAAGTTTTCACGTGCTGCAATTGTAGCTTATGAATGACCATTTCTTTGAGCAGGTTAAAATTTTGATGGTAGGTTAATATATTTTAGCAAGTCTCATTTCCAAGCAATTTTAAGCCCTATATTGAGCAATATTACAAGCAAGGATGAAACATCTAAGTATAATCACTTCCAGTCTTACTTCGGATGCTGAATTTCACGTACATTTTCCAGATGAGTGATCCGATCAAAGTTTTAGAGTAGTTTCATTTTAAAGTGACTATAATCCCTATGTTGTTGAAACTTGCTTTAATGATACATCTTAGGATGCCCACTTCCAGACTTGCTTCAGATGCCGGATGTGATCTACATCTTCCGGATGAGTTACTAGGTTAAAGTTCAAGGTTCATTTTTAAGCACTGTGACTATATATATGGCCTCTTTTCGCAAAACTTACATTGATGATTAACTAAGGAAGCATACTACTGGACTTGATTCGCATACTAGATGTGGCCCATATTTTCCAAATGATATTGGCCAGATAAAGGTTTTCCAGCAGAATCTTACGTAAGGGATTATCTATTTTACTTAGACAAACCATGCATTGTATAGATACATCTTAGAATGCTAATAACCAGGCTTGCCTAGGATGGGTTGCCAAAGTTTTTGCAGCAGGTTTATTCTAAAGTAAATATGGGACCTATATTGACCAATCACGTATGTATACTGAAAGGATTAAGAAACGCATATTAAACTTTTGAGTTAAATCAAAACAATTATTTCAAATATGTTTTTAAGCATTTTTATCATACATTTTAATTCATCTTTAATCAACAAGTTACCAAAATTTTGTGCGAATTTGATTGATTTGCATTTTTATTCACTTATGCAATATTGAAATCAATTACTAAATCCACAGTAGATTCCGTCAGCCATACCGCGATTGCAAGAAATTTATATTGAATGCAAATATGCAAAAACGATGTCTATAATTCTAATGCATATTATTATGCTTCCTGTCAGTTTGTCTCTATATAACCCATACCCTACTATTTTCGCATAGTGGTCTAAGGATTTATATAGCGTAAGCATACTATGCCGAAATAGTGCACGGCCTTATTTTTTGAATAAAATTCTTCGATGCACTCACCGGGAATCGAACTCACGACCATGAGGTTGTCAGTCCGATGCCTTATCGATTACGCCACAGAGACGATCACTGATAAGAGAATTTTATTAAATATATAAACTTAATTTATACAATTGATACAAGAAGGAGAAAAGAGACAAGTATTATTTGAAAACAGTTATATTTATTCTAAGGAATCTTAGATAAATGTGTACAACAAAGTTTCAAACTAATTACATACAGATCGTTAGATGAATTGATACCATGGGGTCATTAAAACGCTTTTTTATATAGCGCTTGATTGAAGGATGTAAAAGAAAATTATCAATGAGAATCCACGTCTGTAAACAAATGTCTTACTAACAAAACAGAAAATAAAGATGAGTATCTTTGGGACAGAAAATTATGACTTATTTAGAGAAAATACTAGTAACCAAAAATAACTAAGCATGCAACTAATTTTAGCATGAAGATTTTCAATGAGTTTTTGCAAGTGCGCTGTGTTACCACCATTATTTTCAGGAAAAAATCAAATGGATTGCCGCATAAATAATAACAACAGTCAGCATAATAATAACAATAGTGTTGCATTATGCATATACTATGCCTAAATAGTAGGCAGGGTTTGACACATAGTGCACTCGCCTCCGGCTCGTGCACCATGTGTCAAACCCTGCCTACTATTTAGGCATAGTACATGCATAATGCAACACTATTATATAAGTATGGTACTCCAAAATTTTATTACAAAATAATCATCATTATCATGCACGTGTTTTGTTTTTTTTTTTACTTTTTATCATTTCTCCTACGTGATGCCATACATCTTCTGGTTGTGTAGTTCTGAGTAGTGATTTTAGTGCAAAGTAACCAAAATAAACATCCGACCAATTTTCATAATTTTCGGTCACATAGTCAGAAAATTTTCCCATATCATGTTCTTGTGCGTTTCTTTTTCCTTTCAGTTTATATTCCAGGTATAATGAATCAAGGGATGAACACTCTCTAGCTTGCTTCGAGTCTGGATTTAAATTCCATATTCTGGATGTGTGACTTGTCTAAAGTTTTGAATAAGTCCATTTTCAATTATCTGAAAGCTCTTTAAGATGAAATTGCATAAATGTTGCAGAAAGTATGGGAATTTACCATACTAAAAGAATCATTCATCCAGTTGATATGAGCTGTGTAATCTATGATATCTTGTAGTTTTCTTTTTACCAACAAGATATATGCTTTTTAAAAGATTTTGAGATAATATTAAGACTTTTCATGATTTTAATCATTTTGACCTACAGATGACGTCATCCAAACAGCTCAAACATGGATCTGATTTCACAATAGTTTTACACTACAAAGGATTTGAAAAGCCAGGAGCAGTGCTAGAGAAAGGAAAGGAAGGCAGCGAAAGTAAGAAAATATAATTTTTTCACACCTGTCCAGTTTTTTTGGCCAATCACTTTTCTTAATTCAAAGACCAAGTTTTATGCGATTAATAAATTATTTTTTCCTAAATTTTTCCTTGTTTCTTACAGAACCATTTTTATCGACGGATGTGCTTATGATTAATTTTTCCCCAGAATTCAAAGACTTGGACACAAACGTGCCGTGTGAATTTGTTTTTATAATCGACCGTTCTGGTAAGACTTAACTTCATGTTTGTTTTAAAATAAAAAAAAATATATTGTGAATCATCTATAACACATGTGGATTGATTGACTGATTGTTTGTTTGTTGCTTTACATCCCACTGGAAAATTTTTCACTTAATATGTAGAGACCTCACCATTTACCGGGTGGGGCTTTTTAAAAATTTTGACCTTTACTCTGTACCTAGGGCCAATAAGCAGTGAGAGATCTTTATCGTGCCAACGCCTGCCTGGTCTCGGGACTAGCAACTATCAATTCAAGTGCCGAGCGCATGGCGAAGGAACACTTGCTACCCATTTCTTATCGACTAAGGTCAGTCGCGGCCGAGATTCGAAATCGCTACTTCCCGATCACAGGGCGAGCACTCTGAGCTACCGTGAATAGTCACACGTTTATTATGTATCATTGTTTACACATGTGAATTGTTCATCATCGTTTTCACACATATAATGTGAACCATCGATTTCACATATGTATTAGGAATCATCGTTGAAACATCTGTATTGTGAATAATACCCATAACAAGTAATCCTTTAAAAGTTATATTAGTGTTAGCATACAGCTTTCGAACAGTGAAGGATCTTTTTCGGTCCAGCACCTCTGCGACACACTGTATGCTCCTTGTCATAAAAGGGAAGTAACGGAAAAAAATCCATAGATAATTCAGTGTGTAAATAATGGTCTTGTAATAAGTATTAAAACGTCAGTCAGCATTTGTAAATTGTATTTGCTGACAGGTCCACTAAATCGACCATAAAAATTACGAAATAGTGACTATAAACGAGAGTGCTTATTTTCTTGTTTTAACAACTTGTTTGTCAATTACTTACCTCGATTATTTTTTTTTCATATATTGAGCTTGCTCTTGCGTATCGAATCTACTTATATATAAAAACCCCGTATGCGGGTGATGAAGGTATATTGCTGCATAAAGGTACGGGAAGTTGACAATTTAAAGTAATTCCACCCTCCTATGATGTCATAGGTTCTTGCAAAAACTGTAATTAGTTTTAATTCATACCTAACAGAACAATATCTCTTGGAAGAATGCTTTACATTAGGTGTATTAATAGATATTGTTTAGTTAAAGAATTAAAAAAATGCATATTTTGTATATCTAATCAATTATTAAATCTATAAAAAATGTTTACTAGGGCAATAACTCCTTCTTAGTTCTCTTCATTCAGGCATTTGCTTTATTGTAAAAAAGTTTC